CCCCCCGAAAACATTTAAAAACTGACCCAAAGGTGCTTTTTTCAAGAGGCAACAGGACTTTCTGTTTTTTCTTTGAAGGCGTTTCTCTTCTCATCCAAGAAGCTTCTTCAGCTCTGAAGAAGATAGGGCTCTTCTCTAAGATATGGTTTCTCGGCCTTAGCAGTTTTAAGATGGGTGGACTTTTATCTCCCAGAATTCCCACATGGTGGGGAATGGAAGGAAGAAGCGAAACATCCAGTTGCCTCTTGAAAAAGCACCTCTGGGGCAGCCCTGACCTGGATGACTGAGAATCTCTGTAGACATTTAAAAACCGAGTTTTCCAATAAAATTCTCTTACTGATTTTAGTATGCCATCTTCACGTTCTGCATTTATTCTTGGTCATTTTCTGTTGGCTGGGTGACGCTTTTATTGTTTTTAGAAACAATACCCTGTCCAGTTTTACTCACCTTTTATATTCTGTCGGAGAATCTCCAGATGGAAGATAGAAATGTGGAACACAAACAAGCAGGACTGTGGTTGTATGACGACGAGGTTTGTCTTTTACAGGCATGTGGATATGTCAAATATGTCGACCACGTAAAAAAGGAAGAAAACTACTCCAAAAGAAGGCAGCACAGATTAAGCGGCGTTATGCCAACCCTATAGGACGTCCCAAAAACAGATTAAAGAACCAAAATGCAACGTAAGTACTTTGAGACTTGGAGTCTGATAGAGATTGAAGAAATTTTGCTGTTAGAGATGTCCCCTTTTTTTTGCAAATTTAAACACCAAGTGACTTAGTACCTACTTTGGAAGAGGTTAGTATTAAATAGATTTTCTCTTTAAACATTTGTTTTTTGATTCACTTAATTCTATAATATTCAAACTTAACATTGTTTTGGTTTCTACATTTATTTTCCATTTCTAGCTTTGGATTATGCCAAATGAAGGGTTGGGAAAAAGTTAGGTGGGAAACACTTTTGTAGGATGGCAATTTAGATATTTCTTAATTCTGCCTTCTAAAAGAACACCGCTGCCAGAAATGGATTTTTACATCAGAGCTACCCTTGGGTTAAAAATCCTCCAGGGAGTTCAGATTTCAATTTGATTTAGAGCCATTAGCTTTGATTCTTATGGAAAAGCGTATGTTGAACATACATTTAACTTTTGAGTTTGGGATGTCCATTAAATAGTTTATTTTTTTATTTGGGGCTTCTAACACAGGGGCCCCCAAACTTGGCAACTTTAGTTATTCTGGCTGGAGAATTCTGGGAGTTGAAGTCCACAAGTCTTAAAGTTGCCAAGTTTGAAAATCTCTGTTCTAACAGAAGAGTCTCGCTTGAAACATTCCATCAGACCATTTTGTTAGAATAGCAAAAGTTGCCTTATGTTTTGCTAGAAGAAATCTTGTGTGTGTGTGGGGGGGTCTTAGAACATTCATATTTTGTTTTAAGCTTGGAATATTACCGGTCCTTGACTTAATGACCACAATTGAGCCCAAACATTCTGTTGCTAAAGGAGTCATTTGTTAAGTGGGTTTTGCTCCATTTAACACTTTCTTTTTCTTGCCACAGTTCTTAAGTGAAGCATTGCAGTTGCCAAGTTAGTAACATGGTTGTTAAGTGAATTTGGCTTCCCTGTTGCCAGACGATCGCAAAAGGTGATCACATGACCCTGGGACACTGCAACTGTCATAAACTATTTTCTGCAACCCTCCCCCCCTTTTTTGCATCTTTTTCTAGCCCCTCTTTCAAAACAGAGAACAGTTCTAAGATATTGAACTCATTAAAGAAGACCATCTACTTTCCTGGAGCCCTATTATCTCCCCAGAAGTTCAAAATTGTTACCCCAACAATGAAATCTTTGTTCATTATTTCATTTGCATGATTAAGATGCTTGTCAGTTAATCCAATGCAAAAATATTCCGAAGCGACGTAAATGAGAAAACATTCATTCAGAGATGTGAAAACAGGGACACATCACTGTTCCAAAATACACAGAGAATATTGCATACCTGTTGAGCTTGTCAATCAGAAAGTTTGGCAGTTTGGCGGTTTGAATCCCTAGTGCCGCATAACGGAGTGAGCTCCCATTCTTTGTCCCAGCTTCTGTCAACCTAGCAGTTCGAAAGCATGTAAAAATGCAATTAGAAAAATAGGAACCACCTTTGGTGGGAAGGGAACAGCGTTCCGTGCGCCTTTGGTGTTGAGTCATGCCGGCCACATGACAGCACTGGCTCTACAGCTTTGAAACAGAGATGAGCACCACCCCCTACAGCTGGAAACGACTAGCAGGGGGGAACCTGTGCGGGGAAAACCTGTATGTATGTATGTATGTATGTATGTATGTATGTATGTATGTATAAAGGAGTCTATGAAATGCCAT